GTATAACAAATTAGGTAAAAAGTTATTAAGAAAAAAGTCATATGACTATCATAATATCATGATTCATATTGATCTAATCATACAGGGTTATACAAAAAGAAAGAGCAGATTTCGCAAATTTCATAAAAACAAAAACTAAGGGACAAAAACACATTCAACACATTAGTGGATAGAAAAAGGGTCAAAGTTATTAAAATAAATGAAAATTTTTCCAGTATTGTTTAAATACTTCTTTTTGCTGGTAATGTATTGAATATCTCTAAGTATTTGTTTTTATTAAATTTTCTAAAATCTGATCTTTCTTTTTGAATAATCCTGTGTATATATATATATATATATATATATATTACTTAAATGTTGTCTTTAGTGGATAGCCATATTTAAGTAGGGCTTTGTTTATTTATTTTCGTCTAAACACAACAGATCTAACAATGGTTTCTCCTACCAAGGGACACAAGTTTGAATCCTGCTGGAGAGCATATATTTTTCTTTAATAAGTTTTCTCGAATATTCAGGTCAGTAGACAATATACTGTTTAATAAATAAATGGAGCATCTACTCAAATCTGGGTATCCACTAAAAAATTCAGTAAAGTAATAAAAATATGCTGGATTAATAAATAAAATTTTCATCTCATATATATATATATTTTATATATATATATATATATATATATATATATATATATATGCATATTTCATTGAATACGACAGACAAAATTGCTTTTATTTAGCCATTTTCAAGGACTAAATATTTTATGTTAAATAAAAATAGTTTGTTATATGTATGTTTTATAAAGTGTTTTCATTTTTCAAAACACAGTCAAGATATTATGTCCATGTTCAAAGTTAATATTATTAAGTGTTGTTTTTTTTTTGATTTTATTAATAAGGCTTCCATTATTTTTAGCCTTTTTTGCATGTAGATGATGCTATTATATTTGTGTTGTCAACAAGTATATTACGAATAATGTCCAGTAGGTCCCCATGAATATTTAAATGAGATCTAATTGAGCTATAGTCAAAAAGATGTAGAGTGTGTCTGCATGTCAAACATGTTGTAGTGTGGCCTATATAATTATTTACGAATTTTGATTGATCAGGAATACAATTCCTTAATGGGCATTTAAAAAAAAAAATTATATTAGATATATGAAAAATTGTATAAAAAACTAAATAAAAATTTTCCTTGTCTGTTGTATTCAATGAAATGTGCATGAAAGAAGGATTGCTGCCTAAATACACAAATATATATATATATATATATATATATACACACACACACATAAGTGATGATATATATATATATATATATATATATATATACACACACACATAAGTGATGAATATATATATATATATATATATATATATATATATATATATATATATATATATATACACACACACACATAAGTGATGAATATATATATATATATATATATATATATAAACTAGTATAAAAAATTATTGAGAGAAAATAAATGTGTTGTCATACTTTCCAAGGGCATTATATCAAGTGATTTATTTGCCATGTATCATATTAAAAATATGCCTTACTGTAAATTGTTAACAGCATTAATAGTTTTATCTGAGATAAAAGAAAATATAAAACAAGAAGTCTTATTAATAAGAGAATAAATTTCAAAAGATATTATTTACTGACTTTAACACTATGATATATAACAGAGAAAATTTGTTTAGAAAATTGAATGCTGATGAATGTATGGTTTATATAACACCTACTTGGCAATTCAAGGTGGAATGTCATAGATCCAATTGTTTTTTTTTTTTAATTTTCACAAAGACACACTAGTTTCTAGTTTACTATTAATACATTACAATTAAAGACTTTCAACAAGAAACTTTTAAAAATATTTTTTAATTTTAAATTCTTATATCATCAGGTTTTTTTTGTAAGAGATATTTTTCCCAATGTCAAGAAAAAAAATCATGATTGCTTGATTAAAACAGAAAAATTAGCCTTTGTTGTGACCTTTCACGGTGTAATTGATTAAAATTCACCTTCAGCCAAAAAGATTATTAATGCTGGAAAAAATCTTAAGTAAGGCATATTTAGATTTTGTTATATGCAAAATAAAGAAAATATTATCTGAAATATGCTTGAATAATAAACTCTAATCCAGACCAATAAAGGAAAAAAAAAAGAAAAAAAAAGCAAATAAGGTAACTGTAATTCCAGTCTAAATTTATCATTATTTACATTTGGACAATTGTCCTCATTTTTGTTATCAAAACATTTTGGGTGTTCTGCTCTCCAGCTTTCAACCAGTGCTTATTGAATTTTGAACTGAACCCTTTATTTAATTTACAAGAGTCTATTGTTCTTGTCCTGCTATCCAAGTTTAGAGATATCTTGTCTAGTTCTTATTTAGTACTGTTCAGTTATTGCTTTCATTGTTTCCACTGAGTCTAAAGCTTCACAACCTGGATTGAACTCACAATTACTATGTAACCAAATTCCTGAATCAACACTTTAATCCACTAGGCTATTGTCCCATGGTACAATCTTGAGTATAGAACCTGGAGCTCTAAACCTAATTTGCATTTGACTGCATTCATCGACACTTTTCTTATTGCTGCTGAAGCTTTGTTGTCATTTCTCTTTATTAACAGCTCCCCATATCATACTTATTTCTATGCTAGGCCAACTAAGGAGGTCCTTATAGCCCAGCATATGAACTGATTCTTACAGATTTCCAACTCTCCTGTGTCCTTCTCTGTCTACTATTTTAACTTCATTCCACAGGAGGGAAAAGGCTAGTCACCAGCCCTTGAATTTGGTGATATCGTAATAGATTGTGAGTTCAATCTCTGGACCGGGTAGTGCAGACTTAAACTCAGTGGAAAGAGGGGGAGCAATAGCTTTGCAAGACTAAAGAAGTAATTGTGTGTTCAATCCCTGGGCTGGGTAGTACCAATTTAGACTCAGTGCAAATAGGATGAGCAATAACTAAGCAGTACAAAATAGGAACAAGACAATATATCCCTAGGCATTAACAGTGGAACAAGAATAATCTATCCCTATAGATAGAATGAAATGTTCAGTTTGAAATTCCCCACTGGTAAACTGGATTGACAAATACTTAATGGATGCTGGAGGGCACAACAGCCAAAATATTGTTATAATAACAAAAAAGATGAAGACACTAGTCAGAGTGTAAATATTGTAAATGAAATCATTGTAAATTAGAATTAACATTCTTATTGAAGTTTCTTATTTAACAATTTTTAGTTTAATTATAAGACTTGATTTTTTTTTAATTTTGTGAATCTTAAGTGTTTGATAAAGCATATGTTGAATCATTTCAGTATTTCAAAAATAATTTCATTAAAAACTAATTTTGCAAAAATAAATTTAGAGCTGATTCTAAATTGAGTGGTCTTTCTTTAGATATGAAAATAGAAAATAAAATGATCACTGATGAGGAAAATGAATAGTAAGCACTAATTTACAAAAGCCCAACCAGATGACTTAACAAAATTATTCATTCATTCATTTTGATTAGCTAATATCTCATAGTGATTCAGTGGTTCTTTCTAAACAAAAATTTTTTCTTTTTCTAATTTTTATATCCCTCATTTTAAATTTCTGCATGATTTTCTGAGATGAAGAATTATCATTATTATACACTGATTTATTTAATCTGGTATCATCATCTTGGTTTTGCCTTTTCATCATCTCTTACCTTCATCAAATGACTGCCATATTTGACAACCTTCTAGGAATTTCAAACTGAGCCTTTTATTCAATTCACATGGGTAGACATGTCAGAGGAGATCTTACATTAGAAGTGGGATTTCTAAAAATCTTTAACTAAGATATCTCCTCACAGAGTGCAGAATGAGAATAATCTACCCCATGAATTGAATAAAGCGTATGCCAAAAAAACATGGAAGATTACCATCTATGACATATACATGAAGAAGGACAGAATACAGTTGAAACACTATGTGTATAACAAAATGAGGATACTAGTACAAATAACCATTTTTAGCCAAGGTATATGGTTAAAATAAGAATCATAGTATATCAATACAATGAAAATGTCCATCCAAAAGAAGGAATTAAATTTTAATTCTTGGAAATACTGACACAAAATAAAAATATTTATTGTAAAAGTTTTCCATTTACACATAATTAAGAAAAAAAAATTAAAATTTGTAATTAGCAAAAAAAAAAAAAAAAAAAGAAGCTAATCATGATCAAATATGATTTTAAATGTTGGAAATATACAGTAGAATTAAACGTTCTAATTTGAATAAAATTAAGCATAATTATCAATAATGATTTATTTTAAAAACCAGTTAAAAGATTGCAAAATATAATGAATACTACCATTAAAAAAAAACAATAAAAAAAAATTTTTTTTTTTTAAATTCTAACATAAAATACTAACTACAGCGAGGCTCTTTTTTTTTAAATGACATAAAACTTTACATTTAAAAAGCTTAAAAGATAGATAAAATTATTTTAAATCTATCAAAAAATATCCTTCAAAATTTAATATTTTCATAAGCTTTCTCAAATTAACTTTGATATATATTTCAAGATAATTGCAAATTATTAGGAGAGAGAAAAAATTATAATTCAGAATAGAAATATATTAAATCTGTGTTTTAGAAGCTGATAAATACTTTTTTAAAAAATAAAGACAATTTGTCTATTTCCTAACATCAAGAATAAACTTTAGTTAGAACTAGATTATTGTTAGTTTTGCACAAACGATGTTCAATAGATGTAAAAAAAAAAAAAAATAAATAAAATACAGAGTCTAAAAGACCAATCTCTAACTGAACATTTTTTTCCTTTTATTTAATTATAATGAATATAAAAAAAATAAAGCCAGCATTTGATTGGGAGTCACAAAACAAAACTAATAAAAAAGAAACAATATCAAAAGGAAAAAAAGACAGACAAAAACAAAAAACAATATGTTGGTTTGTAAGCAGGAGAGAAGCCTTGTGCAAAGAACGTACCTTCATCTGAGGCAGCCTGAGCTACACTCTCATCGCCCAGAAACATCCGCCGAGCCAAATTACGGCGGTACCACGCTTTGGGGAAAGACAAAATTTCAGAAAGGCGTCGCATATCATATTTGAATGATGCTGATCCTATATCACAGATAGCTAAATGAAAAATATAAAGGAAGAGTTAGTCAAGAGGGATAAAAAAAACAAAATGTGAGAAAAGATCATAAATTCAGATTTTAGACTTTTAATATACATTTTAAAAATTAAGGAAACAACACTAAATGGTAATATTAGCCATTTCCTTATAAGGAAACATTCAGCATTCATTGACTGAGCAACCAAGTCTACTTCCAATTGAAATTTATAAAATCTTTCTATTTAAACAATTTTTGGGGAAAATAGATTTCTCAAGTCCAGTAAATGTTATTGTTCTTTGTAGTACTGATGGGGATATCCTTTCTAATCATGTATTTAAAGTAGTGTGAAACATCAACATCTTGATTGTACCATTATTTTCTCTTACTTATGCTATCCATTTTTGTTGTTGCTGCTGTTGAAAGTCCTCAAGTGATGTGCTTTTTGTTATTTGGTACAGTTATTTTTAGGGGATTCTGTAGCGCCATTTCACAAAGAAAAAAAAGGATGGTCCTTGCTAAAACCTACAGGATTTTCATTCACTCAAAATGATATTTTCATGACATTGCTTAATGTAACTATCCTTATAAATTCATAAAAAAAAACAGTATCGCCATTTTTTGTTGTCTTAATGTTTTGACTTCTGTATTCTGTGACCTTTCTGTATGAATTCAATTTGAATTTTGAGGATGAGGAGTTATCATTATTTACATTATTTACAATTAGACTAATATCCTCACTTTCCTTGCTGCTATTACAATATTTTGGCCATTGTGTTTTCCAGTTTTTTTTCAGATGTCAATTAATCCCAGTAACCTTTAGGGAATTTCAAACTAAACTCTTTATTTAATTTATAGCAATAGATTATTCTCATTCTAATATCCCTGTCTATCAATATCTTATTCTGTCCTGATTTACTGCTTTTCAGTTATTGCTAACTCTGTTTCCACTGAGATTTAATTTGAACTACCCAGCCCAGGGATTGAACTCACAATTACTATGAAACCAAATTCACAAACCAAAGATTTCATTCAATCCTGTAAATTAAGTAATGAGTTTAACGAGTTTGAAATTCCCTGAAGGTTACCCAGACAGAAAGACAACTGAAAAAGACCAAAGGTTACAGTGGCTGAAATGTTGCATTAGTAACAAAAAAAATTAGGGCATTAGTCTAACAATGAATAATAAAAAGAAATTACTATGATACATTGTAGAGTAGGCATTGCAGCTCAGATTAAAGGGATCAGAGAGATGAGTTTGAATTCATTACATTCACTTATGTGCTAATACCTTTGGGAAAGGAATAAATCCAACTCTTCTCCCCCAGGTATGGGTAAATAGCAGGACAGGTTGGGATCTATAGCCTTGGTTGGCAACCAGTCTAAGAGAAGGAACACTCTGAAATCTGTATGTAGCCCAGGTGAACTACATACTATGGCAGCTAAGGAAAGGATCATTCACATTGACTCATTGATCCCAACTACAGTCAACTATCATACATTGAATCTTTCTGACTAGCTTCCTTGTTTTTTTTTTTTTATTTTTATCATGGCAATTTATTTACAGCACTCTCTGGCCTTCCTTGGAAGCCTCTCATATTCAGCAGTTATCCAGAAATATCATTTTCATTCCTATATCCAAAGAAAAATAACAGACATAACAGGGATAGGAATTGTCCATGTCTGTGGTTCATTCAAGCTATGATCCCCATCTTATTTCTGATCCAACTTCTACTAAAAGCAGGTAACCCCCCCCCTTTACCTATGAAGGAAGTAACCAAAATATCAATCAGAATGAGAACAACATACCACAGTGGATCAAATAAAGGGTTTCATTGTTAATTCCCAGAAGATTGCCAAGTGGTTAAAATTTGATATAAAGGCAACAAAACTAAGGAAACTGATTTGAAAGAATCAAAGTACAGGGTGTTCCAAAAGTTATGTGACAATTGGCAGAAAACATACACTTTTGAAATAGCAACCAGGGAAAATTTGCATGACATCATCTTCCATAATTCGATTAATAAAATTTCTTAATATATTGTCACATACAAAAAGATGATTCCATTTGGTAAATAATTATAAAATTTACAAGGTTATCAATGATAATGTGACTCTTGGAACACACCCTGTACAACAACATTTTGTCTGTGAAATTCATACAAGAAAATCAAAGCAGCTGGAATGTCATGATAAAGAAGAAATTGGTAAAAAAAGAATCAATAATAGTAATTAAAAAAAAGGAATATTTGTATTTAATGTGGTTGATTATGCAACATGACGACAAATCCTCTAACTCAGAGTCATAAGAGGCACCACATGTACTACAGCTGCAGTAGAAGTGATGTGTCTTCGGCAAGATAACCTGATGGAGCCCAACCCTCTCCAGGCTGGTTTGAATTTAATGTTATCCTTATCCTACCAGTTGCCACCCAAGGCTATAGAACTCAGTCTTTCCTGCTATTTACTCATTCATCATCATCATGTCTACAGATAGAACCCAACTTAATCAACGTGGTGGTAGTGAAACCAGATCAATGATTGTGGGTATGCATAAGCGTGTGTATGAGTGAGTGAATAACTGAGCCAACTGGCAAATACGAACCATCATCAGATTCAACGTGCTTTAACCGACTCAGCTACGAAGAGCATCAGGATTAAACAAGGCTGAATTTAAGCACTAGATTTAGATATTTCCCAAGGGTATAAGCACATAACTGAATGTAATGAACTCAACTCTCAGATTCCTCAATCCAAGCAGCTAATGATTACTCCACCATACCTCCAAAGTTTTAATGATTTAAACACAGTATAGTGAAAAAAAAAAGTAAAAATTATTATTCAATTTTTTAAAAAGAAAGCTAATTAAGAATAGACAATGTAAGTTTGCTCACCTGAAAATCTCACACAGTTTGACTTAATTCCTTCTGCACGTACACCTGCAGAGCTTGTCGCGGGTTGAGGAGTCGGTCCGATAGTTGCACCAGTGCTACCAATTAATGTCTCCCCCAGCCGTAAATCTAACTTGCGACTGCGTGAGATGTGCACTTTGATGAACTCAACATTGAGACTGAGGGAATCTTTCCGGGCAAATTCTGTAAATATGTTGCCGCCATGTTCTTGAATGCTTCCTACAAATCAACAACAAAAAACTCAAATTAAAACAAAAAACAACTTGATCATTTTCAGTTTTTTTTAATCTTTTTGTCTTTCTAGCTATCAACTCTAATATACCTAAATTATTTTGTTATAAAATTATGTTTTAATATATATTCGGTAAAAAGAAGAAAAAAGCCTTCTTTCCTTACTGTTTGTTGAAAATATAACCATCACATTTTTATGGCAAATTTTAATCAGATAAAAGTAGGGACCTCTAAAAATTTTATGAAAAAGAGCATGCCATGATGAAAAAAGGCCCCAAATTTGAACAAAGTTATAAAGTCAAAATAAAAAAAAAAGTTATGTTGTCAAAATGTTGATGTTATTATTAAGAGGAAAAACTAAATTATTTTTGACAATTTTATTAAATTTTTTAATCCTTTTTAGCACATTCAAAATTTTGGTTAAAAATCTTGTTTTTCTTACATCAGCAGGTGGGCCAATGATTAGTATGGGTAATTTTAGTATTTTTTTTGGCATTAAAAACACATTGTTTTGGAAACTCTTGCAAAAATTAAATAATTGTCACATTTTAATTACATTTTCAGGATTTATTCACAAATAAATAAAATCTTTTCTTTTTTTAAGAAAATCTTGGTAAATTTTTTTTTTTTTTTACATTTCTTACTTTCTTACTTACTTAAATTTATATTTCCAGACATTAATATTTCAGTTTTTTCCTAATTATATTAGTTAAAACTAGGACTACTTGGAGAATTTAAATCATCAATTTGTTTTTGTCAAATAGAAAGACCATTTACCAAAAATTTAGATTACAGAGGGGGGAGGGCTGTAAGGCTAAAGAAACAGACAAACTCCTCCAGGGTGATCTGTTTGTGATGTCTCTCTGGAGTTTTGGCATTGTCATGTGGGTCCACTCTTTGATGTTGCCTGACTAGCTTTTGCATTGTTGTCCCTGTTTGCGTCCACCTTCAACAGTGCCTTGCATGATGGTTTTGCAGAGGCTGTTATGCCATGTGACGTGACCAAACCATGACATCTTCTGATGATATGTTAGAAGCCATATGAAAAAGTAAAACTACAAGCACCGTCACCTTTCTTATAAGCATCAAGTTCTTCCTACAAATGTCTACACTTATATTAACTAAATAAGATATTTTCTTTTTCAGTTGAAAATTGTCTTAAAAATGGATAAAAATAGGTTAAAATTTAACTCACAGAAATTTGTACTCTAGTAGCTCTGGAATTGTTAAAGTTTTAAGTGGACACACTCAAAAACCAATATTTTACACTTTTAAAAGTCTATTCTTCATCCATACATTGATTATTGTTGGAACATCTGGTCTAATACTTTTGCTAAGTATTTAGAGATTCTTGACAAAATCCAAAGACAAATTTGTAATGTGATCAGTCTTGACCTGGCATCTCAGCTTCAGTCACTTTCTTATCACTATAACATAGCTTCCTTGTCCCTTTTCTATATTTTCATACTAATTGTTCTAATGAGATTTCCTGTTACCCTGAATTCATGAATTTAAGCATATACTAGATTGGCAGTTAGGTCTCATCATTATACTGTTGAAATGGCTAGATGTAACCATAAGTTCTATTTCAACAGTTTCTTCTTTTGCACTTTTTGCTTGTGAAACTCTTCTGGGTTCTTGCTTTCCAATCAACTTTGATCTTCAAAAATTTAAATGCAATGCCAATCATCATCTTCTGTCTCCTCAATTCTTGTTCTTTTATTATCTTCTCTCCTGTATAAGGCTGTTTTTTTCTCAGTTTCTTTCACAATCATTAACCCCTTGCATCATAGTGGAATTATAGCCTTGCTTGGAGTGAAATGATTAAAACAAAAACCATTGGTGAACAAGGTTGTCAATGGCTACAACAACTTTACTGCTAATACTGCTGAAGTCAAAGTAGTTATGGGGGGGTGATTTGCCCAAGTTCTCACTCACGTACTTTCACTTCTGTTAATTATCTTGGGTGAGATAATTAACCCAATGTCCAAGATGTCCAGCCTTACAAAGTTAAAAGGACTCTAACTACCAACTATTCAGCCATAGCTGAAAGAAAAATTGTATTCATGCCATTTCTAAGGTTATTAGTGCAAAGTGAATTGTCCCAGCTTGAACTCACTTTATCAATTCCATTCACAGTGCTGTTAACCATTTGCCCAGCTACACTTCCATCTGACAAATTAGGTTAAATGAACTTACCAAGTTCTGACTTTTGAAAACCTGAATATCCAGGAGACCCAACAGTCTGTGGCTTTCTCTGCCCACCTCCATATGGATGGAAAATATACAGTGAGAAATTGGAGAGGCATCCAGTAAAACTGAGACCTCCCGACGATGAGAGCTGGGCTTGATTTGCATATTCAGAAGCAGTACTGCTGACTCGTGGCCTGGTGCCACCTTGCCCCAGAGTATTACTGCTGCCACCACTAGCAATGCCTGAAGCAGATGAGGTACCATTTTGATTACCACTGAGATTCCTTTCACGATGAACAGATGAAGAACGTTTATGATCTGCAAAGAAAGAAAAGGGAAATTTTAAATGTCATTTCCATTTAAATGTTTTTTTTTTTTTAATTCCTCCACACATTCAACAATTATACAAGACATTCAACTCTATTCACTCAATGATTACACAAGACATTTAATAGCGCTCAATGTAATATAACAGAGCTATTAAGTATATTGTTATGAATAATCAAGTGATCTCCCCTTGTTTTGTTACTCTCCTCTTTGAGAGAACTTAGTTGAATAAGTCTTAAAGCCTACACCTGCGTACTTTTGTCATTACATATATATTAAAAAATATACATATTATTCCTCCCCAGTAGCACAACACAATCTTCAAGTGCTGATTGATAACTGATCATTATATAATTTAAATTTTGATAAATATACCAGACTATAATGATAGTGGAGCAGTCCATATTATCTACAGGGTGGGCTCTTAAAAAAAAAAAAAAAAAAAGAAAAATACTATATAAACATACACACAAAAACACACATCCTCACAACTGATATACCTCAAACTACAAAAATGTAATTATAATTCAAACACAAATATACACAACTGAGTAATTAAATACAAATATACATTAATTTAAAATGAAATTCATCAAGGAAGTCACTGTAGTTTTTTTTAACCCATGTACTTTCAACATTTTCTAACATCATCTTCAGGGGTAAATTACAAACACAACATATTATAACTGTGATAAAATCTGCATTTCATTGCCATAGTGATTTTTAAAAACATGCGCAAATGTGCTCCATTATGGTTATTCCAGAATTTTTAATTTTATCCATTGTAGTTATGGAATCTTTTACAAAACAAGTGTTTCAATATAACAGAGCTGACCAGGACTTGTTAGAAATGTAAACTGGCATTAGTATATAAATGTTATATGCACTTTAATATGTTGTTGCTATATTTGTAATAAATTTTGTTGAGAGTTGGCTGATTTTGATATAGAGGATCTCAAGAATTTGAAGTTTTTCTTTATTATTTTCATGGTGTAGTATATTGGTGATGTCAACAAGTATTTTCCTGTATTGTGAAGGTAGACAGGAATGTAATTTTAGATGTTGTGCAATAGAACTTGTATCTGACAAACGAAGTGTAAGATGTCCTGATAATGTTGTGGTCGTCAAGTCAACATAAGTATTTACTTTTTTGTCAGAGATACAATCTCCCAAACGACATTTAAACTGATATACAATGTTTTTTTTTGGTTTTTTTTCAAAACACTAGTTGACAGGGAAGAATTATTGCATATGATTAAGTTGGTTGTGTTAAATTTCGTATAATATATAATTAATTTTATTTTTTTTACTGGGATCAGTGAGGAATATATTAGTACTTATGCAGTTTTTTTAGGACTTTTCCATCTTGTTTATAATTAGAATGCATATATATAGTATAGTAGGTTGATATGTTTAGTTATTTGAGGAAGTATTATGTTCTTTTGGATTTATATTAATATTTATAATGTATTGTCTAATTTGTTCATCAACAATGTAATTAGGAAAGTTATTATTTATATATATATATATATATATATATATATATATATATATACACATGGATATTTCAGTAACTTGAAAAATTCTTATTACAGATAATCCTGATCAGCAGAATTACTTGACGGATATTGTTGAGATTAATCATTCATTAAGTTTTTAATCATCATAATTAGCCAACGTCTAAGAAATCAAAATCACTTTCCAAATAAATGAGATTGAAGAGAATCAACACTCAACCATTTTTTTTTTTAAAGAAAGAGAAATTCTTCACATTAACCATTAAATGTTTGACTTAAGCCAAAAATTATTTAAAAACGTTGGACCCAGAAAATCTGAAAGATGAGAGGGTACTTACTTTTAGCTTTTAAAGGAGGGGTTCCTTCGCCAACAAAGTTTTCTTCTGTTCCTTTAGTGGAGAAGACAGTTTCAAGAGAAGGGACTTGAATCATGCATTCAACGCGTGACATAGGAACACAGTTGAATCGTATAATAGATGATTCCACTCGAATGAAGACAACAACATCGACTGGAAATGACGCATAGCCAACAGGTAACCCAAGAGATGTGGTAGACGCATCCAAATCCATCAAAACCTGACCCACAAGTTCAGCTAAAAAAAAATAAAAAAAAATCAAAAGTATCTCTTCAAAAGTCAGAAAATAATATAATGGATTCATTTTTCTTTTTAGGGGAGCAAAATAATTCCAATGTTTCCTGATGTTGTTCAGTTTGAGGAAAAAAGGAAGAAAGAAAAAAAATTGAACAACTTAGCTTAATCAGTTGGCTAATTGTTAAGGTGTGAAGAAAGCAAGTGGAAGCCTCTCCAATGTCTTTCCTAGGAGGGCATGGCAATTAACAGATGATTGCCTCCATTTTGAAGGGACATGGGATAAAAAAAGGATAAGGCTCTGTCCTAATTAGGCAGATTCCCAAGGATATTGAATACAGGTTAACAACCTAGAATTTAATTCTTCATTTCTGATCTATTTATTTACTTAGTCATAGAATTATAAATTAACCACTGTACCATAATAAGCAACAAAATAAAAATAAAAACTAGTCAAAAAAAAAAAAAAATTATTATTCATCTTCAATGAAATTTGGACAACTTAAGACTACTATGTCTACTACTAATGGGTGTAAACAAATAGTATGACATGGCATAAAAAAATCATATACTGAAGTAGATAAATATATGACTAAATCTGAATGACATGTACAGATTGGTTTTTGTAGCCTAACTGGTAAGGCACCATCCTGATCAAAGAGTCTTGCAAAGATAAAGGATGAAAGTTAAAATCTTCTCAGAAGCAAAAGTTTTATTTTATTTCTGATCTATTGTAAAGTTGCAGCTCAGACACCAGGTTCATCCTCAGAGTGCAGCATCTTCCAGTCAAACACTTGTGAATTACAAAATAACTTTTTGACCAGATCATCCCCCACAAAATAAAACCATGAGATGAAGTTGTAGCAGTAGGCAAATTTTATTCTAGTTGTAATCTTCTGCTGTAGACAAGTGAGGTATAGGTGAGGGTAGTTGATGGGGCAAACCATCTAACTGGCATCTTCCTTTCACCTGGCAGAGAGCAGTCTTCTGACCCTCTCTGTGTCTCTTCTAGGAGCTACTGTCCTATAGAGAACATGGTTCTTTGTCTTGTCAGCTTTATCTAAAAAAAAGTCATCCATAAAGAACTCTAGCTTCACTCAGTTACCTTCTTTGTCAGGATCATTTGACCTGGTTCTTGGGAAGTTCACTTCATTAAGCTAACCTTCTTTGCCAAGACAGATAATTTTCGATGCAATATCTGTGTTGCAGATTGGTCCTTAGCAAGATATCAGAAGACAATTAATACTATACTTCGAGCTAAAATGGTTATAGAATGTTTTTGAAAAATAGTCAAAAACTAATAACAATAAAGTAAAATATTCAGGCATCACCTACATACAATCTTGCAAAAAATAAAACCCAAATAAAACTTTTAAGATTTATTGAGGGAAACAAAAAATAGTATTTTTGCATCTACAAGAGACTATTTTCATTTAGTGAATCTATTGTAAATGTGTGTTTTTAATATTAATTAAAGCAAAAAAAATCACCATTTCCTTTAAAAAAAAAAAAAAAAAAAAAATGTTATTGAATATGTGGTAATATTATTGTTTTGTATATAGCAGTTATTTAATTCAGTACCTTTTTTCTACAATGATATTCACCCTGTACAAGACCTAAAAGCCACTGAAGGTAGAGTGTTACACAGTAAGAGGTACAGTTTATAGAGATATGTGGGGAAGATAACAGTTAATTCTAAGCTTGAATAGGTTAAGATTGTAGTGATCAGGGAAGCATCCTCTTGGAAGACGGTTCCACAGAGCAGCAGTTTATGAGAAGCTCTGCTGCTAGTGCAGAATTTAGATCTCACCAAGTGTATATGAAGGGAATGAGGGTGGTTCATTAAAATGTGCATGAAAAGGTGGGTCTTAGAAGAATTGGTGGTACAAAGTAATGTAGTTCATCTGAACAATTTCTATGGAAATATCAACAGAGCAATTTCATTTAAAGAAGTCATAGGAAAACTGCAACCCACAGGCCACATCCGCTTGGCCTTTTGAATGGCACACCTAATTTAATGAGAAAAATAATATTTAAAATTTTTTGTTTTGTTCTATTCTCACTTGTTCACTACCATTATTTCTCATACAAAGAGATTGAGAAAAACTGGTATCAAAGCGACATAACAATAAAACGCCTGAGTAACCTCCCTTACTTAATGCCTGTTGCATTGTGGGGAGAGTTCAACTAAACCACATACATAACAATGATTAAATACAATGTTTCTTGAATTTTTTAACTTTTTGTTGATAGTAACCTTCTCAACGTTTTAAACCATTGGTGATTTTCAGTCAAGAAAATCATACATGGAAAAATATTTTGCTTTAGAAACGAGAAACATTCATATTAATTTTTTTTCTCTAGCGAAGAAATATATGGCATTAAAAAGAACCTATTTCGACAACAGCAATCAGTTTCATGTCTGAAATTCAAATTTAAGCAATTGCCTATCTCATATTTTTCTATTGAATTATTATAAACATTCTGTAATGAATTCAAAAAAATTTTAAAAACCTGGACACAGAATTCTTTAATGGGCAAAAAATAAACAAATATAATTAGCTGAAAGTATCCTTCCTAAATACTTGGACCTGAAACAAGCAGCTTGTTGCAAAAAAATTTTTTTTTTTAAGTATTCATAAAATAACATGAAGAATTCTATATTTATTTATTTTTTTTTTTTTTTTTTTGAAAATTCGCAGAGAAACAGTGATAAGATTTAACAAATCCCTTACCTTTTTTGGTTGAAAATGGCTGAGATAATGGTAAGGGTTCCAATGCTTGCTCTAAGAAATCTAGTAAGTAAGGGCTGATGACCATTTCCTGAAAAAGGAAAAGACATAAGTATCTTTGATTGTTACAAGATAGCACATTGAATATTACAAAGCAAATACTTTCAAAACCCTTACTAAGATGAGTAAAGGGGAAAACGTTTTTAAAATTTCAGCAATTATCAACATCAGATTTTTCAATGTCACTATTTAGAAACTTATGTTCTCTCTACTCTGAATTCCACCAAGTCAATAGAGTTCCATGAAACACTGAGTAGAGACAAGATAATTGAACATTTAATTTTAGTTGTAACTAGATGATTATAAAATTTACTAGTTTATCAGTGAAGTGACTAAGGCCACAAAGAATTGCATAATGTTATCATCAAAACCAAGAACCAATTTGTTTGGTTAAATGTTTTTTATCAAATTGGCAATTTAATAAGTCAAAATATACCCAATATGATCAGATGGTTCAGATGATAAGGGTTTTAGATTCTAGGGAAAAGAAAGGGAATTTTTAGCTTTCATTAAATCAATTTTGTTTTTTTTAATATTGTACATTTGTCATAATTTTAGTTTAAATATAATGAGTTATCTCCCTTTAATAGTATTATAATCAGAGACTAGTAGTACAGGTGAAAATTCCAGTTTTTCTATATTTTAAATTTTTTGATGAACTATAATTCCCAATCTAATGACTGAATACATTCCTTGCAATTTCCACAAAAGGTTTTCCATTTCACTAAAATGTCTGATAGCATTATGGCTTCCTCTATCTCACCTTTATTCATTATACATGTACACTTATTCTCACTAAAGCCAGCATCACTAATAGATCTTTTTCTTCCAGCTTTCCTCACAATCAAAATGAAATGGTCTATTATTTATCTGAAGCATTGGCAGGGTGTAATGAATGTGTGAGGGATGGAACACACAGAACTATGATTGCAATATATACGATAATTAGTCTGGAAAAAACATCTGATTAAAGAACAGAAATTTCTGGACAATTCTGCTGAAATAATCTTTATTTCTGTTTGTGATATTTCTGGCTTTAGTAGTCAAAGAATGAACTGATTAAATGACTTTTGTATGTGTTATTTTAGACCAACTAATAGTGCACAATAACTAAAAGAGAAAAAGAAGTAAATTCACTTCTGTGTTAAGAAAGCCTCTTACCTCAGGCAATGACTGTAGGAAAACCCAAGCATAGAGATTGGCTTTTTTAACCCCACTCCGTTTTATACTGGGTACAGGACATGTCTCTTTGTCTTTATCTTTACTCTCTGCCATGACTTCTTGTGCTAAATTGGCAGAGAAGCCAGGTGGTTTGGAGGCTGGAGAATCTAATGTACTTGTTTTTGAGTTGTAGTGCACCTGAAAAAATAAATCATAATAAAAGAGTTATACAGAAATGCATTCCTTTTTTCAATGTTTCACCTGGACTAAATCACAACAATTTCAAAAACTTTGTCTATATTTCCGAGATGAGGTGTTGTAACTATTTACACTATTTACTTTACTTGGACTGTTGTCCTTATCTTTGCTGTCATATTCCCAACATTTCAGCCAATGTACGCTTCAGGTTTCTTCATGTGACATATGTGGACACAGTGGATATAAGTGTTGGTTGAAGTAATCCAAAAAGTGACTTGACCCAAAGAGTTGTCAGTTCAATACCTGGCCACAGCAGGGGTTAACAAAAACTTGGAGAGTTGAATTACTAAAGGGAAATAACTGAAACTGAGATATCCAGAAAAGGTGTGGCACATGGAAAAAGAACATCTTCCCCAGTGGACTAAATAAAGGTTTCGGTTTGAAATACCAACATATATCATCTGAAGAAGGCCAGAGCATACAATAGCCGAAACATTGTGAATATGACAAAGATGAGGACAACAGTCCAAACAATGTAAATAGTGTAAATAATTTCCAGAAGTTTCTTACATAGAAATTTTAAAGTTTTTATGCTTTAAATACCAGCCACTGATTTTTATATATAAAAATTTTGTAGTGTGTGACGCCATTTGTTTACATTAAGATATGCTTCGAGCAGATATGGATGTTCAAGGAATAATCATGGGAAAATTTGTATTTTAAAGCAATAAAATTGGCCTTCGTAGCTAAACTGGTATAGCATGCCAGGCTATATGATAGTTCTGTGTAGGATACAGGTTCAATTCCTGTCAGAGGACGCATTATTTTTTTATGAAATTTCTCAGATATTCAGGCCAGTAAATGTTGTTAGTACTGTTTATTATAAACAGAGCATTTACTTAAATATTTGTATATATATTAACAACATATAACAAACTATATTAAAATATATATATATATTTTTACATATATATTTTTTTTATATATAAAGAATAACATAATTTAAGATGAAGGATATGTGTAAAAATCAGTGAAATCTCTCCACATGATAAAATGTTTCTTCTGAAAATATTGGATTCATTTACTTTGAAAGATTTTCTTTCCACCTCAGCTCTAACAAGTAGTAACTCCTCCCACTACAAACTGGTGGCCAACATCAATGTCCAGGTTTTATTCCCTCCCCATATATTGTGGGGATTATCCCCACCATGTCTGCCAGGATACTTGTAAGGTGGTGTCCTATTCAGGACTATATAAGGAAAGACATAAAACCCTCACTTTCTCTTTTTACTTTAGAATGCAGTAGGTACATCATTTCTGCAAAAAGACAGCCAACTGCTAAACTTCAAACACGGCCACATGGCACAACATACATGTATACTTTTTGTCTAACAGCAAAGCCTATAAATATTTTTCTTCCTTTTCAACAGTATCTGTGTATACATAAATATATTTTGTCTTCTTATGTTTTATACATATATATATATATATATATATATATATATATTCTAAAAGGTCAGCCAATCTAACAGTGATCTCATCTCACAATTCTCACACCTGCTCCATATTGTGGCCTCCTTTGTAAATCACTAGCGAGTTTTAAATGCCACTTAAGATTAGCACATAAACTTTCATAACTGAATCAATAAGCTGGCAGATTCTCATACATCGAAACCGATGGGAGAGTCCATTATTATATATAAATGTAAAATTACTCCACATATTGAAATTCATTACTTTTGAAGATGTTGCAGTCATTGACTTTGAAAGGCACCTCAGTCGTAAAAGGCAGTAACTCCTCCTGCAACTACAAACTGGTGACCAACATCAACTTATCCATTAATCCTTCGTTACATTACCATTTCATCTAAAGTACATATTTTTTGGATTTTAGATGAAAACCTTGAAATTTTTCAAAAAATTTCAGTGAAATATTCACTTTCTATAATTATTTGTTTGTTTTACAGCCTATTGACCTATTGTGTCATTTAATGCTAAAATTTAATGTTTTTCTAAATAAAGTTTTGTATTTAAACAGTCAAAGAATTTTTTTTTAAATAGTAAAACTGTAAAGGTATGGTTCTTTTTTTTAAATTATACTTTTGAGATCTGTTTAATTTCACTTAGAAGCTGGAATATAGAAAATGGATCAGTATTTTGAAAAAATATTTTTGAGTTGTTTGGTAGTATTTTAATCAGATTGAATTAAAACTGCTGAAGTTGGCCAGTGTGTATTTTATGGTGAATTCCTCTTGGCGTGCCACACATACCAGGAGATCTTCCTTTTTTAGGATATATGAATGGGTTATGGCAGTATGTACAATATGAAGTCTTGATATAATCACTTCTTCTCTTCTAGTCTGGTATTTCTGATGCTGTTCTCCTATAGAAGGTTTAATTCTGTACAGTTTATTAATGGACAGGAGTTCTATACATTGTGCCATTCCTCCTTAATATACATGTTGTGATGGATAAATTGTCTAAATTATGCAAAAATGAAAATAACACTGACATCTCATTTTAACAGATACAGTTACCAAAATTACACAAAAATATCTTGAAATGTTAACGAATAAATTTATTCAATAAAATTGCCAATAGCTTCAACCATGGCCTCCAGATGACTTCAGAATCTCTTACAACTCCTCTGGACGGTCTCCATGTTTAAGTTGGTGAATACTGCCATAATCTTTGCCTTCAGTTCATCTTTGATGTTACAAGGAATTTTATTGGTCTCTCACTCAACTGTGACTCACACATAATAATCAAGGAGGTTACAGTCTGGGGAGTTAGATGGCCACATGTAAGGGGTGACGTGGCCACAGAAATTGCCTGACAGCCCCGACTAGGTTCTCCTGCTTGTGTAGCATGGTGCAGAGTCCTGTTGCCAGACATAAGGTCTTCTAGCAGCCACTCTCTTAACTCAGGGCAGCACCAACCCCTCAAGGCATTTGGTGTAGGCCTCCATGTTGAGTCCAAGACCCTGGAGGAAATTGAATGGAGGCATAACATCAACATCACTAGTGATCACTCCAAACACAATAATGTTGACTGAATATGTCATCCAACTCTTTCCTCTGCACTGTGCTTGGATTGACACCCAAACACTCTGAAATGTTTGTATTGGAGCTTCCGGAGTAAATGCCTAATTTCTAGCAGAGTAAATTGCATCAAGGTTCTTTTTTTCTCACAGATGGTGCCCAACTGACCCTACTATACTGTGCAGTGGACAAAATCAAAAACAAACAACACGCATGTGTGAAATTAAAAATATAAAATGGTGACAATATACCTATCTCACCCTTTATATATATATATATATATATATATATATATATATATATATATATATAAAGAGAGTGAGAGAGATAGTAACATATTCAATAAGAAGAATTTGTGCAAGGTTACCAATGGTCAAAATCAACGGTCACCATACCAACAACTGCCAAATACACCAGTGGTGGACAATACCAACATGCACAAGTAGTTGGGATATTTTTCACTGGAACTTTAGCAGTTTATATAGCAACCTGTGACAACCATGATTTATCAGATCCCCCACTAATTTTTTTATCAACAAACTTGAAACACGGCTCAGGAATACAAACGACACATGGGCATAACTTTCATTGTAAGAGAGAGAGCAAGAGATAGATATAAAAATATATATGTATGCAAAATTACTTACTCGAACATCCAAACCTGGCAAAAAGAACACAGTATTCTCAACAGATGGCTGCTGCAAGGGTGGAGCCTTCTTCCCATGGGATGCATGACTGAATAGAGCAGTATTGGACTCTTGGCGTTTCATCTTTTTTCTATTAGGAACTGGTGATGTTTCAGGCTTTTTGGCAACTCTGTTAGAAACAAGCACACAGATATTCATCCAAAGTTCAATTGGAAAAAAAATAGAAGTTTCCATAAAACTTCACAATGATATTTACTGATTGGACATTCTAATAACTTTTAGATTAGACAACAGCCAATGATGGTTTACTAACTGTGGATTCAAATGCCTATAATCTTTTGTCATTATAATTTTTTTAGCCCCTTAATCAAAATTTTATATAAAACTACTTTCAGGGCATATGTTATTTATATAAAACTACCTTCAGGGTATATGTATAAGCTGTGTTATGAAATGCAAAGGTATATCATGTTTATGCTTGGGTTCCATTCCCACACCACCATATACAAATTAAAGAGCCTGTATTCCAAAATCAAAAACAATCTGAAAATCAAAGCACATCTGATCACAAGAATTTCACAACCTCTGTATATATATATATATATATATATATATATATATATATTATTCATGTTTGATTCAAAACTAACAAAAATTCCTTGATGGGTTATTTTTTTATATTTCCAATTGGTATTTGTAAATAAATCTTTCCATATCTAAGCACTTTTGGCTAACATTAGCCGTTTTCATAGACATTTGTTGTTTTTTGTCATCAGATTTATTTTTTTAATAATGCATTTCAAATATTCACATGCAAGTTCATGTCTTCTTTTTTTTTTTTCTATTGAAATATATTTAGTATGTTGGGTCCAATGTTTCAAAATGTCTCGGAAAATGGCTATTATTAGGCAAAAGCACTTAGACATGGGATATTTTATTTATAAATTCTAACTGGAAATCAAAAAACATTATTAGAAATATTAATAAAGTAAAAAATAAACAAGGAATTTTTCTTAGTATACATTATTTCAAGTAAATTGTGTTCATAAAAAAAGATTCCACTTTAAATGTATTATTTGAGAACTTGGAGGATATTTTGATCTTGTTGGAACTACAAGTTAAATGGAATCTGAAATTGACAGTCTTGCAGAATATGCTAGATGTGGAAGAAATTCCCACCCTAGTTTTATGATTATTAGTGCATCCCATTTGTTACATGATGACAAGAGATGTCAGGCAACAAAATGGTTTTGATCAATTTCTTTGCAAAGAAAAAGATCTTTTCTGTTCCAAAGTGTCCCTCAAACAAGCCAATCATTCACTGTAGTATTACTTAGCAACAGTTTGCCCAGTTTCCAGCAATACTTAGTTTTAAATCTCATCAAACATGAAGACTTTTCATGTTTTTTGATCTCTAATAGATTCTCTTGAGGATGAAATGAAGACCATCATCCTGGATTTAGCCACAATTTTCATTTTAGATCCACATGATATATTCATTTTTCATCACCATCTACCAAAATTACTTTTCTTTTTCATATCAAGCATGAAAAGACAGACAAAATGTAATCATACCCCAGGACCTTCAGTCTCTCACTGACCAGAAAAATCACACAACAATGTGCTTTGATTTTCATTCAGGTCAGTATGCACAAAAACTGAGAAAGGCCTGGTGTACATTGATAATGAAAACAAAAGGTGGAATTGACTTCACACTGAGAAATGAAAATGCAAATCCTATTTCCAATAAATTTGGTTGTTTATTCACTTGGCACAGTCTGGGTGGGGTAAGGGTAGGTTGGGTGACAACTTGTGCTACTTCTGTCATAACAAACTAACGGATCAGCTCTTCCTCCCACCTGGACAGTGAGAACACCAACTCACTTTTAGTAACCCCTCTGCATCATGACACATGGCTTGCAACACGACCACACATAGCTCAAAATTACTCTCCATTCTGTGACTGAAACTTTCTAACTTCTGACCAAATGACCCTTAATCCAAAAAGTTTTCTTTTAATTTTTATTTTTTTATTTTAAAACTAAAGTTCATCCAATATAAGGTTCAAGGGCTACTCAAGGTAGAGAGTTACTGAATCTGATTTGTGATGTGAATTTAAGAGGGGGAAGCAAGAAGTGAGGATGGTGAGATGTCATCTAACCCTTGACTTGAAGTTAAGACTGCAGTGTACGAGAAAGCATCCATGCAGGTATTTGTTTCACAAAGTAGCAACTCTTGGGGGGGAAAAAAGTGAAACTTCCTCCTTACAATTGAAATACAGCTAGGGAAAGAAGATGATTCGATATAGATGTAGATTGGCAAGTCTTAGTTGTACAGGTCTTAACTGAATTTTCTCTCTGTCCTTTTATTTCATGGGTGGATGCATTGAAGATCTTACTTCACAGATTTTATTGCCTATATAATCATAAAGAACTGCTGCACTTCACACCCAATTAAATCATTCGGAGCCCATTTTACTTTGTGGGTGTTCTAAGCCAATTGCAGGAAGGGGGGGGGGGGGGTAGACATTGTGTCACAAAATATTTAAACACTGATGGAAGTTCCTTTCCATAAGTTCATGCAGAACACACTTTTCTACATCCTGTGTTTTTGATAAGCCTTGTGATGTACTACCATTGAGTGGTTGAATTGAAGTAAAAACATTTCTAAGATTTCTCTCTAATGGTGTGGAAATTTCTGCATCAAAGACATTGTTAATGCAATCAAATAACATTTAAGTTTTTTACTTTAGTTTAAAATTTTGATTGTTATTTGAGATGGCATGATGGCTGCAACTTGATTTCAAAGAAATATCATCATTTGAATTATTCTTAAATATAAGTAGTGCGGATATGGCTTTTTAGTCTGGCTAGGGTCTTATATAATTTTGCACAAATGAGGCAACAGCAGGCGCCTCTTGCAGTAGCTGATGCATTTATATTTTGGCAAAATTTCAATTTGTGAGACAGACACAATAACATTCATTACACGTTATATCAAATTCTATACCAACATTCTCAGTGAAATTAAGACCCTTATATACAGCTATTTTAAGTTTTTTATGCTCAACCCAATTGTTATTGGATGTTCCATGAAGGAATGGAAACCCCTGATTCTTTCAGCTCTTAGCCAATTGATTATTTGGCAACAGGTATTTTATTTCTTATTTATTTATGGCTCTATGGGCATTTAACAAAACACCATGAAAAATACACATTAAACAATCAAGTAAAAAAATAAATAAAATCCATTTTTTTTTTAAATCCTTCACCAAATCACTTTTTAGTTACATGAAAACCACTTTTTTAAAAAATTATTTTATGTCTGAGAAAAATATTTAAATATTTTTTTTTAATTGATTGATTTGTCTTTTTTATGATTTATCAACCCTATGTGGGTTATTTAAAGCCAAAACATATTTTAAATTTTGTAGTGATATCAGTTTCAGTTGATATGTTATTAAATGGAAAACAGCTGATCTATCTTAAAAATGAATTCCAACATTTATTTTCCCCAATGCTTACCAGTAAGTGAAGTGAACTTTAAAATTACATAGGAAGTGGCTCAAACAAAGAGTCGTGGAATAAAGATAAATTACTTTTTTCAGACAAAGATGACAAGACAAAGAACAATGTTCTCTATAAGACAGTGACCACAGCTTGCAAAATAAGCAGAGACAAAGAGGGCATATGGAAAATGGTATGAGAAGACACCTGTTAGACTGTTCACTTCCCCCTCACCTATATTTCATCTTGGCTCCACTCGTCTATAGCAGCACGTTACGACCAGAGAATAAAATTTGCTTACTGCTACAAATTCTCATGGTACTAATTCATAGGAAACAATCTGGCTGAAGGTTCATTTTTAAGCCATAAGCATTTGACTGGAAGAAGCTGCATCCTGATAACGAACCTGGTGTTTGGTATGATTTGCAATGCTACAATTGTAAGAATAATTCTAATTTTTTTCAAGTGAATATTGCATTAACATTTTTTGAGAATGAAAATTTTTCTAGATACAAGTTCTCCTATTTAACCCATAACTGGGAGATGAGGTGGAATCATGTTTCCCAGGAGTATTTGTGCATAAGTGAATATAACAAACTCTACTGACATTTGAACTTGGCTCTGCAAATTCTCATTCTGAGTCACTATCCATTACACCACACACACATTCACTATTTAAATACAATGACTCATTTTTTTTAAGTTGCAAATATAACCATTTAAAAAAAAAAAAAATCAAATACACAACAATTATTCAAAAACCGTTTTCTAATTTGCCCTTCAAAAATTAAGAATCACCTTCAAGAAATTCTTTGTATGTTAAAAAAATTTATCCAAAATTTCATTTCTGTTATAAATCCATTGTCCATATCCCTTGAAGCTAGTTTCGCAGTATTATCAGGCAGAGGGAAATTCAAAACAAACCATTTTGGCAATACTTACTTCTTCAGGTCTTCTTCTTTGCTTTCCTTGGGATGTAAAATCCACTTTCCACTATTAATGAAGACCTTAAAATCCAGCTCAAAATCCACACTAGGATCTGAAGCTGCTGTAGTTGTTGATGCAGTGTTTGTAGCTGAAGTGCTCTTGCCAGTGCCTGTGCCACTGCCACTCCCTGAGGTTATCGGGGTCTGGTACTTCACCTGTTTCTCTGCATGGCGGCTCTCACTGAAACAGACAATTAGGACATAAAATTAATATTCATTTCATTAAAACCATAAACTGACACCTTTTTCCTGCCATATATATAAACTATAATTTTGGAAAGTGAAAATTTCACTGAAATATAGTGGAAAATTTCCCAAGTTTTCATCTTAAATCAAGAAAATAGAAACTGTAAGCAAAATGGTCAAAACATCTAGGAAAAAAAATGTGTCAGTTTAAAGCAGTGTTTCTCATCTAGTTCACCCAGGGGCATTAATGTGCCCTGAAAGGTAACAAGGTAAACTAATAATAAAGTATATGAAACAATTCTTATTGGTCCTTATGTATAGCCAGCTTGACAATGGATTAGGTATAAATAAAGACAATCTGAAGAGTAACTTCTCAGTTGTCTATGTGTCTCATACTAACTTTGAGCAAATCACTCTAGAAAGAAATAACTGGAGATATTTGTGCCGGAGTCATATCAGAAATTTCGGAATAAGTCATATTGATCAGCTAAGAAATGAAAGACAATGGCAAAAAGGGTAAGCAAATATTTCTGTTGCTATGTCCCAAGATCCTCACTGTTGCACAATATGTGAATTTGTATGCCAGTCATGAGTTTTTTTTTTTTTTTTGGTTTTTTCATTTCACCCCAAGCAAGGCAGGAAGCCACTAGGACGCAAGGGGTTACAGAAAATTTAGAGCAAGATCAGATAGGAGTGATAGAAGAAAGGATGAGGGTAGTGGATAGATCAAGGCAACTGGAGATGTCTATTGACATTACATTTGAATAGCTGGAGATTATAGCTCACAGGGAAACAGGAATAGGGAAGGGAGTTCCACAGGTGAGAGGTGCAAGACATGAAGCTATTAGAGTAGAAGAGATGGCTACATTTAGGAGTTTCGACAGTGAAAGGGTGAGAGCGGGATGCCAGCCTTGTATGGCGCTTGAACTCATGACGTCTGGGAACCAGCAAATGCAGCTCCTCGGAGCAATTTCCATGAAAGTATTTGTAGAACAGACAGAGGGAGGCGGTGTGTTTGGACTAAAGTGTCACATAGGACACAAACATAGAAATTGAATGAGATTGTTGGGTGCTCATATGTTGAAATCAACGGGAGAGACCATCATCATCATCATATGAAGAAATTATAAAGACTGAAAGAATTAAAAAAAATGAAAAAAAAGGTACTAATGAACATTGTCTCAACTAGGCTGTCACTATTCTATGAAAATCATGACCTAGTTTGACTTTCACTCCAGTAAGGAGTGCAATGATGGAATATATGTCATCAAACAACTCCAAGAAATTGCTTAACTCATCAATAGAAAATTATATATCTGCTATGCTGACCCCACAGCAGAATAAAATCACACCAATAAAAGACTTCCTCTTTTCATCAATTAGAAACCATCTTCAAAGTTCTGAATCAACTGATGGTTTATATCTGATAGAAGAATTATATCGGTTCATATGTCTGGTGAGGACTCCAATATGGGAACATTCCAAACCTCAGATGGAGTATGATGAGGAGGAAATAAGAGCCTATATCTATTTAATTTCTTCCTAGACAATGCTCTGTCCATATACAAGCACAGATGTGAAGAGATGGGCACTGATCACTTAAACATTCCATATCATATCCCAAATGAATCTACTAATAGAAAACAGAATTCCTGCTTCCCCTCCTATGGCCAATGTACAGAGGATGATGATGACATAGGCATTCATAGTTGGGACAAGAATAATCTTGAACAAAAAAATCAGCATCCTCCACAAAGCGCTCTAAGAAATAGTCCTCACGATAAATCTTTCCAAAAGAGAAATGATGATCTTGAATTGGAATGAAAGCACTGATAATGCAGACACTAAATCTTTCATAAAAATTCAGGATGTGGAATTAGTAAATATTAAACACTTCAAATACCTCAGAGTATGAATCAATTACAACAAACTTAGTATAAGAGATAAGGAAATTGAAAACAGAATAGGCAGTTCTATGAGAAGTTTTGCCCAACACCGCAAGCTGTTACAAAAATAAAACATTAACTTAAAATCTAGAGTTATGTTTTTGTCAGATCTAGACTTTCATGTGTGCTTTATGCATGGTGGCAAACTTTTTCAGAAATATTTAAACTGTTTGTATACAACTGCATTCTCAGATTGATGGTTAAAAATGGCTTCAAGTGAGTGAAGCATGTAAGTCTTAGTGAGGACTGTCTTCCTTCGAACATCATGAATTGATGCTACAGAATCACAAAAAAAGAACTTTACCAAATAACAGAAACCACATGACTTGAGGGCTTTCAACAGCAACAACATCCAAAATGGATTGTAAATGTAGCTGGTAGAAAAAATAATGACATAATCAATGATAATGTGTGTGTGTGTGTGTGTGTGTGTGTATACATGTTAGGATCAATAACTTTTATATACTGGCAGGATATAATTTTTAATAGTTTTTTAATGAAATGGCTATTAAAATTATAATCCATCTGTATATAAAAGTTACTGACCCTAAAAAAAAAAATACCTTAACTGTTCAGTCCACTTTTTTCTTTTTCTTTAATCATTTCACTCCAAGCAAGGTGGGAATGCCACTACTACGCAGGGGGTTAGAGAGAGTGAAAGTGAGAGAAAAGACTGAGTTGGAGGGGATTGAGTAAAGGATAAAAGATGAATGGCATTCAAGAAGACAGAAGATGGTGATTCATGTCGTATTTAAATTTTTGAAGATTGTAGTTTTCAGAGAAGCAAGTAAACAGAAAAGAGTTCCACAAGTGGGAAGTGTGAGAAAATAAACTGCTGGAGTAGAAGTGGTGGTTACATTTAACTTTTTCAACAGTAAAGATATCCAATCTAGTAGCATGCTTAAATTCATTTAGTCAGGGCACCAAGGAAAGAAGCTTGTCAAAGCAGTTGCCATGAAAATATTTGTAGAAAAGACAGAGGGAAGCCACATCACACCTGTGGGAAAGTAACTGAAGTTGAGATGCCAAATTAGGATCATTTACATTGCTACTCTTCTTTGGATTTTGTCAAGAACCTCGAGATGAAGAGGAGCATCATACCAGATATGGCAACAGTATCCAATGTACAGATGAATGATAGATTTGTAAATGTGCAAGATAGACTCTGGTGAGAAAAACCTGGCACAACACATTGACCCAACTTTACTTGCAATAAATGCAGCTATTGATTCAATGTAGTCGTTCTCCTTCAAGTCAGTTGAAAACATGATGCCAAGAAGGCGCAGTGTGATGCTCTCCAGGAGTCGAGCATCAGTCATTGATGAAGATCAGAAACTGCATAGAACCTAGGATAGAGCTTTGGAGAACATCCACATTTGAGTGAAAGGATCTGGAAGTGAGCCTATCCAAAATGACCTTCATTTCACAATTTGATAGGAATGATTGAATTAAATCAAACAACTGTCCTATAATACCATGGCCCTGGAGCTTGAGCTGAAGACCAGTGTACCAAAACCTGTCAAATACCTTTGAGATATCTAGAGCCACAGCTTGAGCTTCACCATTATTATCAAGAGCTTGATATACATATTCAGTGACAGCCTTAAACATGTTAATCATAGACTGGGTGAAACGGAAGCAATATTGTTTGTCAGAGAGTAGGTATTAGAGGTAAGATGCTTAACCACTTCAGCATTGATTAAAGCCTTGAATACTTTTCTGAAAAGCAGTAGGAGACTAATAGGGGTCAGAAGGTTCTCCAGAGTTCTTAATACTGGAACTACAAAGGAGGACTTTCAACAAGCTGGAAAGCAGGAAGCAGCAAGACAAATTGTTGTAGAGTTTAGAGAGAACAGGAGCCAGCTCAAGAGCACATTTCTTTAGGATGATTACTGAGAACCTATTAGACAAAGAAAGGTTAAGAGTTTTATGTGTATTTTGTTGAGCTGGGTTAGGTCTGTATCTTTGGTTGCTTATAGTCATGGTGTGTTGCTTTGGTAAGGGAAGTTCTAGGGTAGTCATAGCAGTCAGCCATCTAATGTAACATGTGCAGGAAGAGAACTGGCACAGGCTGCAACATAGTGTGGCCTTATGATTGCCCACTGGAGGTGATTGCAAGGACACCCTTTTATGTGCAATGTGACACTGCAAGAACCCCAATATTATGCAACTGTTGATCAAAACAACTTCTCAAGATGCTATGCAAAATTTCGAGCTACAAACTACCAGTTAGGAGCAGCAACCAGAAAACTGCTAATCCGATATGACATATGAAGAGACTTTGCCAACATCCACATATATCACAAAAAAATCATGACAGCACCACTATTAAGGCTGGTGAAAAGGAAAGGAACCGAAAACCCATTCCTAAACAGGAAACAAGGGATGAACCCCTACTCCTGTTCAAGAGAAGAGAAATGAGTAGGGCTGGGTGATTTGAAAGCCTATCTACTCCTATTAAAAAAAAAGTACTGGCTGCTTGGTCAATGAATGCTGAATGTTTCCTTATAAGGAAACAGCTAATATTACCTTTACCATTCCATCTTTTCTCTTAGTTCTATTAATCTTATTCTTCCTACTTCCTCATTCTTTCAATTCTTCTCCTCACATTTCTTTTCAATCATTAGGATTAATATTCAGGCATACAATAGACAATATTATTTACTGAATATATAAAGAAATTTTAAAAGATAATAAAATCAAGAACATTTCACCTGAAAAAAGGAAAAATATATTTCTGCATGTGAAATCCTGTATCTTTTTCTGAGCTTGTATGATGAATGTGCATTTCTGCTGGAGAGAAGTGAGGGTTGGATTTGTGACCCCATTTTGTCATTTCTACATTGCCTGTTGGACTGTTACAACAGACTATCATTTGAACTGTGATTTGTCTACAAGTGTTGCAGACAAGAGACAAAAGAAACATATTTCAGGCATTTATTATATATGTGAGAGAGTACATTAAAGCTAAACCAAGCTTATCATTTCTCACCAAATATCCCTACAAGAAAAAAAAATGTCCTGTGTACATGCTACAAATCTAAACATACCTGTTTGGGTGAAGAGGCAAGAATGGTTCTTTCTGATCCAAAGACATTTCCTCATCTGAAGACAGGGACGCATCTGAACTTGATGACGTAATGTCCTGCAGTGTGTATGGTCGATGTGGAGCGGAATAGCGAAGAGAATGGTGACGAGTCGCCTCCTGACAGTTGCCACTTCCATTTGGATACTCAAATACATCATTGGTGTCTGGCGAGCTGGTGTATGCAAAACAATTAAATTATTAATATACATATATGTATAGGTAGGGGATTTGATCTTTTTTATAACAATATTTGTATTAACTGAAGGTAACATTTCTCTGGAACAATTACTGACAAATGAGATGAATTGACAAGAACTTAGGGATTTTAGTTTGTTTGCATTTTTTTTTGTTTTGTTTTCATGAGTACTGTGAGGTGTTTGAACACCCTACAAAATGTTTTTCATTAATATTTACCGAGTTAAATTTTCATAATTAATAAAGTAGCTTTTATAATACCTCCACCAAATAACAACAAAAAGAGTTTCTGGTTTTATTCAATATATTTTTGTCAGTTATAATCAGTTTTATTTTTTCACTGAAAACAAAATGAAACCTATTTTTGCATATTGAGGTTTTTGTAATTTACAAATTCATTTTTTTAATATTAGCCTTTTAATACAATTTTTCAAAATAAAACCTTTTGTTTTTAATCTTTATTTGTTTAGGACGGAAAACCTCATCAGTACTAGAAAGCATGGTAACACTTACTGGATTGTTTTAAGAGAAAGATTTTATAATTTCAACCAATCGTAAGACTAGATGCTCAGTCAATGAATGGCAAATATTTCCTTATAAGGAAATGGCTAATAATACCATTAGAGATGATAAGAAAAGATACTACACTTTGATCCCAGCCAGTTGGCCAGAGAGTAAAGAAAAGCATAACTTGAGTAGCACTAGCTGCTCAGTCAATGAATAGCAAATATTTCCTTATAAGGAAAAGGATAATATTACCATCAGAGACGAGGAGAACAGATACTATACTTGGTATTTACTTGCTGCCCCACGCTGACAAGATGTGACACAAAGTTTAATGTGAGTAGCCCAAGCATGTACACCCAGGCCAGGTCCAAAAAGAACCCAGTTCCCCCAACCCCATTACTTGAGGACTTTCAACAACCGCAACTACTAAAACCAATAACAGACATAACTCAATGAAAAAATAATGGCATAATCAAATTAACATTTTACATGACTTTAAAGAAAAGGTTAGAAAGGAACCCCCCCCCATCAACACTGCAAAGAGCAATAACAGTGGACTTGAGAAACAAATTATTTTAATAGAAAGATTTAATAAATTTCAACCGATTGTAAGACTGGCTGCTCGGACAATTACCTGAGACTGGGCACCTCTCAACAATATTTTTAGTTGCACTCTGTCTGCAGAGAGAGACACAATTGAGAAATAAAATGTAGTTTATCGACCCAAGAGTAGATAGTACACTTTGATCCCAGCCAGTTGGCCAAAGAGTAAAGAAAAGCATAATTTGAGTAGCACTCACTGCTCAGTCAATGAATAGGGAATATTACTATTAGCAATGAGGAGAACAGATACAACACTTTGCTCTTAACCTGATGACCAGGAAATGAAGAAAAGTGTTACTCAAGTAGCACTGGCTGTTCAGTCAATGAATATCAAACGTTTCCAGGAGAAACAATGAAAACCAGAAAGATTGCTCAAGACAATATAAATTATACAAAAATTATGAACAAAATTACTTATCTACACTATTCTAAATGGAGAGTTTGAAAACCATAGTGTACTAATTTGGTGGCACTGCCCCACAGTACTAACGGATAATATTTAACAGAACTCCCACCACGTGGGATGTATGTGGCACAAGGCCAAGTTTACCGTGAGTTCTCTGAGCCCATAGGCTCGGCCAAAATTATTCCTGTAGAACCCGCATAAATGTGTTCAGGGCCTGTCTACCTCCCTGGACAAAACTTTGCCCTTCAGCAAAGCCTCGTCCAGGTTCCTCTCTGCCAAGGCAGAGAGTTCAACAGTTGAACGGGCTATGGCACAGTACTAACCGATGGTTAATGAGTATCTAATGACCATACAGTTCTTGCCATACAAGCAGTTGTGTGAGTGTGATTATACCTTTACAAGAATTAGATTAGTCATTAGAAACAAGAGTCCTTTATCTTTGTCAAATGAAGTTTCTTCTTAATTTGTTTATGATAGCACAGAGTGAACTTCATAGCTTTCATTATCTGCTTTACTGTTTGAGTCAAACTCATCAATGATTGCTATGTTGGTAAGATTTTAAATCCGTTATATTTCCGATTGATCTAAACTAACAAGACCTTTTCAAAACAACAGTTAGGGGAATTTTATAATACTAAACAAAATTATATATCTATTATACTTTAAACGGGGTAGGGCATTTGAAAATCCCACCATACTAATGCTGTGATGAGACCCTTACAGTAACTGCTATTTTTCATATACTTTTTATTTTCTTAAACATCTCAAGTAATCAGGTAGGCAGGAGCTTTTAAAACTTAATAATGCTCATGATATAATGCTAGATATATATATATATATATATATATATATATATATAATCTCACCATTATCACTTGTCTCATCAATTTTTTTTTTTTTAAGAAATAAAAAATTAATAACAATTTTGAGTCATGTTTAATATTGATTAAAAGTGATAAATATGATTTAATGTCCAAAGTGGTTAACTTCATGATAATGCCATATCATTTTATTAAAAATGTTTGAAATATGTTAAGCATATGCATACACAAGGCCTCAAAATGAAATAAATTAATCATTGATCAGGTTTGGCTTCTTTTGCTATACTAAAGCCATGGAATTTGTATTTTATAAATCATAGCACGTATTCAAAGTTGAAGACACTAAATTGATGGTATTAGTATATTTGGTATTGGCTCTTATCTAAGAAAGGTTTGTTTTTTTTTTAAACTGACAACTTATTCCTTAAGAAAAAGAAAACTTTTTAAAACAATTTTTAAAAGATTTTAAATTTTTAGTTATTTGCTAAGTATCTTAAAGACATGAGCAATCCTGGATGCCAACAACTTCTTATTCTTTGTTGCTCTTAGTAAAGTTTGTCTTTTTATCATCTCTAAAATTATTTTAACATGTCAAAACTGAAGAAATCTAATTTTACAAAATCCCAATATATTTTTACAAATTGAAGAGTTAATCTTTAACTAAACTGTAAAATACATTAATAGAAGAGAAAAATATTCCAGAATGAAAGAGATTGAAAAACATATCTTTTTATTATTTTAGGTCAATATAGAAGATGAGCATTAAAAAAAAAAAGTTTTCCAAGAGAGAGAAAACTGCAGCCAATTCCAAGGAAGTTATGCGATTGATTTCATTGTCTGTATTTGACTGACAAATCAGACAGCACTGCCATTTGCCAAAAGTTCTTCCCTCTTGGTGCCAATGGCTTCATGCCAGACAGAGACTGTAGATCAAATTCTCTGTAAGTGATGATACCTGAATCTGACATTGGGCCAATAGTTATTTAAACAATTCATTGTGATCTGAATAAAAGATCAACAGAATTCTTTTATTGCCCTGGTGAAGACATGAAACAGATCACAGGAGAAGATTTATTCTGATTAATAGTTCTTACCACATGTAAGCTGTACAGGCAGAGACAATTTGAGAAATGTTTTTTTTTTTTCTATATCCTCCTCTGGGCAATGATTTAATCATAAGGACTTTATCACAGATAAAAAAATGTTGGATTTTAGTTCCTTAGTTCCACCAGTTCAGACATTTACATCTAGGACACGCTGTTCCACTTGCACGGAATCAAATCAACCTCATTCCCTTCTTATTCTATTGGTAAGAAGGAATTTCTCCTCAGACAGATTCTTCCTGAGAACTGTTACTCTGTGAAGCAGAGTTCCAAAAGAATGCTTCCCTAATTGCTACATTTTTAATCTCTTCAAGTTATCAACTTTTATCTATCCTACATAAACTCATAATCTACACTTACTTCTTACTCTTAAAGCCATACAAAAACCTCATTCAGTAACCCTCTACCTTGAGTGGCTCTTGGGTCTTTTATTGGACAACCTTGTGATCTATTGAGTCATCCATTAATACAATAACTTATAATGGACAAAATATTATTACTGAATCTACTCTTCACAGATTATGCTACCTTCTGCATATTAAGGATAAAAGAAGGCCAAATTATTATTTTTTTTATTTTTTGCTGGGAATAACTAAATTTTTAACACATAAGATTGTACTCAATAATTAGCAATTAATAGTTATCTCCCTTTATTTAATTATTTTTTTTTTTTTTTTATAGCTCAGTGTCAATATAGATCTCCACAATAATATCTTACAGGCTCAAATCACCTGGACATTTGTGTTCTCTAAGCTAGCACACATTCTTCTTTTATGTGACATCGGTGATCATGACCCTGTACAAGTTGCTATTTTTTATCACTCGAAGAAATATTTGTCTTTTTACTATCCCTCCCAATCCCTGTCCTGCTATCCATTTATAAACACTTGTTAAATTAGATCAATGTTTCTCAACTTTTTATTTTATCTTGGAGAATAAACTTGTAGAATAACTAAAACTCTGGAACACACTTTAAATATTATCAAGGAAAAATTAGTCATGAAATTTGAAAATAATTTTTTTAAAGAGACAAATAATGACTGTTTAAATGTGTTGAGGATGGCAAAAGGAAAAGGATTATTCACTCCTTCTTAAAGATTAAGGAATTTAGTATCTAGTTTAAAATATCAAACAACAAAGACTTGAATTGGACATGGATGGTATGTCCTTGATTTTTATTTGATATAAAAATAATTAATAAATTACTCTTCTGTTAACTTGGAACACACCTGGCTTACCTTTCAGGGTGCATTAGTGTGTCTGGGTGCACTGGTTGAAAAATACTGAACTAGATCAAAACAAACAGATTCAATTTGTTTATCTTTCAGTTTTGACTTACTAGTCTAGATAAAAGAGAATTCTAAAAGATTATTCTGTTGATTTCACTGAAAGACATTCTAATTGAGGAAGGGCTTAATTGTATGCATTTTATTAATTTTTTATTTTTAGTTTAATTCCTCTTTACCTCTACAAGAAATTTAGTTTTAAATTCCTAGCAGTTTCTAATAACATCTCAATTTCACCCAAGCAAACTAAA